ACCCATAAACGGCTATTCTTTTACATACTTTTGGGGTCCAGGTAATCCCACGCCCTGAAGAAGAAGCAACATCCCGAGTTCAGGCTCAGCACGCGTTTCGGTCAGATCCGACTTCGGACAGCTCCAAGTCCAATCCTCGGCTTCCGTGCCCAACGGAACAAGCCGAGACACTTGCAGAGTTTAGGAAGTTTCGGGCAAAGTGGGTTGAGGTTTATATACGACTCTACGAATTAAGGGATTTTGGGGCAGAGGGCACCTGGAGGCCGAACTATGAATGCGCTAAAACCCCACCAAGCTCTGAGCAAAACTTACAGCTAACTTCGAAACAGGTGGTCCCGCTAAATGCTTCGTACCGATTATTCTCACAGGCTGCCTGCACGCTGCATAGGCCTATCTATGCAGAGCACAACTCACGCGCTATGGCGCTGTTGAACTGACAGGTCTCACCACAGAGACACCTGCGGCTACAAACAACGCTGGAAAACTCTCCGGTCACTCTGAGTTAGCCCAATCCTTGCGAAGCTTGTCTGCTCCACCACCTCGGTGTACTGGATTACCTCTGTCATTAAAGGGTGGCAACAGTGATCCGCTATCTATCACTGAATAAAAACCGGTTGCGATATATGCATGGGTCGATCATGGGTCACGAACCGCGATGCATCAGACCTTTTCTTCCATACACTCGCTTCCAGACGAGTCGATTTCAGACCGCGTCTCATGCTTGCAGTCAGCAAAGATGGTGTGCTTGCGAGATGCTTAACCGCATTGGAGTGCTAGTCGCGAACTTCCTCCCACTTCCGTTTCACAGACTCCTCGCTCTTCTGGAGTTTCTTTGCGATGATCGGCCAGGCTGCTTTGTACGTGGGCGATTTCATGTCTTTCAAAGTCTTCACCTCGGAATCTGACCACCGCTCCTGCACTTCGGGTTCGTTGGGCATCGCAGGTTGTCGCGGCCCCGGCTCGGCAGCAGAAGGCTCCCGTGGCTCCGCCGCGGCATCCTCCGTATCCTCATGCGCGCGCTTTAGTGGCCTAGGACGACCTGCAGGCGGCCTGTGACGTCCAGGTTCGTCTGCCACTGGCCTCCCCTCGACGGCAGCCCTGGCAAGTTCCTCGTCCTCCGAACAAAGGCTTGCCTCGAATTTCTGCTCGGGGAGATTGAACCCGAGACAGGTCAACAGAGCCCGAGTGAGCGCGGGCGTCTTGTGGTAGGACCGCTTGATCGAATAAAATATAATAGCATAGCGAGTGCCTTTGAATGGGACAGTGCAGTGGATTTCCGTGCCATCAAACTGCTGGAGGGTATGGATGTCTTTTTTGAATCCGCGCAAGAGCCTGCCTTTCGGCCCGATGCCTGGGATGTCTTCCTGCAACTCGTACTGCTCAGTCCCCCTGTCATCTTGAACGAAGGTCTCACCGCCTTCAGTCCAATCTCCCAGACCGAAGATCCAGCTTGGCCCTTTGTTGTTTTTGTCCCTGTGCGGCTTTGTGCACAGATTCTTGGTGAGTTGAATGGACGTAAACTCCCCAACCCCGAGCTTTCTCGCGTACTGCACGATGTTTCTAGTCAGCCTGCGAAATTTGAACGTGTCAGTAGTTGGCATAGGTATTCCACGCCAATGTGCACCCACACAGAGGCCCAGCGTTTTTTGCAAACACTTTGCTTCTCCACTGGGTCTGACATTCTCTCTTGACGTGGTTTCCCACTCTCTGTCGGTCAGTTTTTCGAGGTCGGCCAGGAGCTGCACTCTCTCCTCCTCCATGCTCATGCCAGACGGGCCAGACGGGAAGAGTGCCGAGTCGAACTCAGAACTCTGCGTCGACATCTCGGCCAGCTGGAACCTTGCGAATCGCCTGCCGAGGCTGCTCCGCTTGTGGGGTTGCAGGAGGCGCTCTTGTGAGGCCTGAGTGTCTGCAGCAGGCTGTGTATACGGCTCCGGCATGGCTCCATCTTCCACCGCTTCAGTATCCGTGAGGGTATCTGCTACCAGCATGACATCATCATCCTCTGAGTCCTCCATCGATTCGTCTATGACCTGCTGCGAAATCTCTAGTTCAATGCTTGGAGGAACATAGTCATCGAAATCAGCATGCCCGAAATCGCGGTTCCATGCCTGGAGGGGACCATCTAAACAAATCTGCTCCGATCTTGCATGGCTTGGTGCTGAGGAAGCACTAGGGCAAGATCTCTGAAGCGGGATCGATGGGAGAGCTGCAGCCGCTGCCGGCTGCACACGATCCTTCGTCCATTCTTGCAAGGTGGCATATTGCTGAAGAATAGCTTCTTGCTGTTCCTGCCACTTCGCCTGCTGCTCCAAGATCTGATGGATCATTTCCTGTGTTCGGTTTTGGTATCCTTCGGACAGCTGAATCCTCTCTTTCAGCTTGCACAGAACGCTCGCAAGCTCACCAGCCGCCATGGCGGCGTGCTGTCAAGGCAGCATCAAGCAAACTGAGCAGTCCCACGGAGCAGAATATTAACTTGAACATAGCACTGCCTGTTAGATGTAGACGTGTGCAAACAAAACGATGGCAGTCTAAGCATGGTGTCCACTTAGCCTGAAATAGCTCTTCATGTCCAAACTTTACCTCGACCAAAAAGCGCAGCAGGCTATCAACCAACAAAGCATTCGCACATGCAATGCTGCGGCTACACTTGCAGCTCGCCCTCCGCTTCCGAACCTTATCCTGCACGTTTTGGTGAGGCTGCGGATGGTTCAGGGAATTGCTGCGTCGTGAGTCAAGATGTGTTGGACGTGTCCTGGAGCAATCGGGACCTGTATGAACCTCGACATCGCAGCCCGCGCCTTGATTGCCTTCGGTGCTTCATTAACTTGCAATCATTCACATCGGGTTGACACATAATTGTAGCGAAGTGGCGTTGAGACTGGCGCTGGAGCTTCTCAGCCTGCGTCCTGGGTGCTCAGATCGAAGGGTGCTGCTTGATGCCGCCATTTCGTTCGGTTGATTGCGTGCCAACAGACTGCTTCTGAGGTTAACAGCCCTCAACCCGTCGCCCGGAAGTCTTACCTGCAACCTTTCATGTCGGGAATCCAGCTGTGCATTCCATGCAGCCCCACAAACATAAAGCCCTTTCCGAACAATCATTGTCAACCGTGCTACAGTATGGCCCTGTCAGAGCTGTCAGGTAGGCAAGATTATCTGCACGAGGGGGCGGAGACCGAGGTGAAGGAAGATGACACACAGGGAAGCGGCACGAAACGCCAACGCAGAAAGCCAATGCGCCGCGGGGCTGTGAAGCAAGCATCTCGCTTCGAAGACGGCGATTCTCGATCTCCTCCTGCACGACCTCTGCAAAGTCTACTTCAAGACTTGGCGTCCCAATGCCTCGACTCGTCGTGGTAGTGGTGGTAGTAGTAGTACTGCTACTACTGCTTCTACTACTACTACTACCACCACTACCACCACTACCACTACCACTACTACTGTCCAATCACTACTTCTGCTGCTCCATTGCCACTACCACTACCACTACCAGTCCTCCTCCTTCTCCTACTACTACGACCACCACCACCAATACCGCTGCCACAGCTATTGCTACTGCTACTGCTGAAACTGCAACTTCTACTGCTGTTGCTACTGACTGCTACTGCGACGAAGACGACGATGACGACTACAAGCTACTGCCATTAGCACACGAGCCTGACTCAGTAACTAACTATGGCTATCTAGGTAACCATCTAACCAGCCAACCACCCAAACGCGAACTAACTAACGAACGAAGGAAGGAACAAACGAACGAGCGAACAAACTCACCAACTAACTCACTCACTCAGTCAGCGGCCAACTAACTAGCTAGCTAGCTAACTAAATAACGGATGAACAACTGACTACAGTAACTCGCTATCTCACTACTAACTAAAACTAACAAGCTCCTTCACTGACTGACTGACTGGCGGACTCTACCTGCCTGCCGGCCTGCCTGCCACGGGCTGCTTGCCTACCTACCTTGTACAACGACGAGACCACGACTAAGCGGACGACGACGCCCATCACCAGCACCACTACAACGACGACCTCGGCAGTCAGAATATAACAGAAATAATACAGGCAACACAATCATCTCCCATCAGGCCATAACAACCAACAAACCTATCCTTCGATTGAACTGGCCTGGCTCTCGAGGTTCACAGCTCGGGCTTGGCTGGCTTCCAGATGGCCATGCCAAGCCTCCTGAGAAGCAGGATGCGTGCGAGGGAATCCCTACCCGTGCCTTTGTCTTGTTATCGTGTCTCTGTGTGCAGGAGAAGGCTTCTTGTAGGACCGACTGGTTCAAGACACACGGCCACCGGGGTACAAAAACCAAATGCAAAAGAAGACGCGGAGGGTATCTTGATCCTTGCATGGACCACGAATTCACTTAGATCAAATATGTTCTCCTGCAGAGTAGGAAAGCAACAACGGAAATAGGAACAGCTCTCGGCAGAAGACCATGTTAAGGCCAAGCTCTTCGCTTCGAAACTCGAGAGTTCCAGTGGTTCAGGGTTACGGGGGAGCTTCACTCCCAGAAGTAAGAAACGCATAAGACACAGAGATGCACTGCTTGCTGGAAAGTGGAAACAAGAAACCTTGACCAAGGGCACCTACTCTTGCATAAGTCGTACTTCATCAAGGCTCAAGGCTGAACCCACTGACAAAGTCTTCCCACCTGCTCGGTCTCGATGCTCTGCATCAGCATTTCCAGCTCGCTCAGCTTGGACCTTTCAGTGTTGACACAAGAGCTTGGAGAGGGCGCGGGAACTTCTCTGGAAGGGCACTGGCACACCCTGCTACACACGGACTCAGGAGCAAGAAGCCCAGAAAAGTAGAGCAACATGTTGTGGCCCTTCAGCTCCGATCAGCCGCGAGCTGTTGGGATTTGAAGCCTCAAGGCCCTCATCAGACTCTCGAAAGCATGCAAGCATGCTCCCTCCTTCCGACAAGGTCCACAACTCGGGTTGAAGGATTAGGATCCGCAGAAAGCATCGCACAGCAGATCCATTCAATCGATTACCCGACCGCCGAAGCGAAGTGCTCAACATGCCAAAAAGCCCTACACCCGTTCAGCTTCAAAGTCACACTCGCCAAGATGCAAAGCCCCAAACCATGGAAAGCTTGAAGCCCATTGACTTCCAGTGAGGCCCAGGCTTGTCCTGCACGTGCCGCAACCGCTGTTCCAGATCCTCACAGGTTTCCGGCTGTTTTGGCTGTGGGGTGTTGGAAGTTAGGGTTCTGGCATGTCTGGGGAGGAAGAGTCCTTTCAGTTTGCTTTCAGCAGGTCTGTGAAGGGCCTATGGAGGGCGAGGTGGAGACAGATCTGGATCTGGAAAAAATGTCTTGAAATGCCGCAGAACTCCAGCGACCGGGCCTCGTAACGATGAAGATCCTGGCCAACAGTGCTCAAGGGGATGTGCCCGTAATAGGCAGGGGAATAGGCGCACATCGTTTCGAACAAGCTCTCCAACGTGTATATCCGTAGATATGTATTGTGCATACATGCATTCATACATCCCTACCTACATGCATGCATACATGCATGCATACATACATACATACATACATGTGTACATGCCAACATGCATGGTTACTTCATACC